AGAGCAGATGTATCAGACAAGACCTAGTCAAGTGAAACAAATCATACTGGTTATGTAAAAAAGGAAATTTAATATAAAAAGTTAATAATTAGGTAAATATCATTAATTACTGAACAAGATAAAGAGAACTAAAGTGTAGCAAGAGTAGCTACCAAAAGCACCTGCTACCCCTGGACTGAGGAAACCAGAAACTTTAAGGAAAGCCCCCCCAAGATTGATATTAAGACCATTAAAGAGATGTTCTACCTCCTGCTCAAATACATTGCCTGTGGTCACAGTAAAAAGGAAACTTTCTGAAGGTCATCCAGGCACTGGAAGAACAGCCCATCGCTTTTGGAAATGCTAAAAAGACCATCTTGAACTTGCCATTGCAGGAAAAACAAAAACATGAAGACAGAAAAAGTAGTCTTTTCCTCCTCCATTTTTGCCTTCTCATTCCATTACCTCCTATTGTCGGAACTTGATAGAGATCCAGCTGGCAAAAGAGAAATATCGTTCTTAGAAACCAACTCCCATAACAAAAAGTAGATCATGAATGGATGGGTGTGGGGTTAAGAGGCAATAGATTAATAACTAGCACAAATCCCTGATAATATGGGACCTCATCAAAGGTCTATATGAAATAAAGAATCCAGCTCTAGATTTCACCAGAGAAAAAAGATCTCAGGCAGAGGAAAGAACCATCACAAAGAACCAGAAGCAGCATCACACTTGGTAGGTTTGATGAAGAGCAAAGGAAGTCAGCATTGCCAAAAGGGCTTAGGAGATGAATTTAGCGATACAGCAAGGAAACAGATGGTAGACAAGACAGACTTTTGCTTTGAGTGAGAAGAGAACTGACCACCACAGGGTTCTGATCAGTAGAATGATGTTATCAGAATTTGCTTTAAAAGGATCACTTTGGCTTCTAGGTTGAGAAATGGCTGTGGGTGGTCATGAAGAAAATTAGAAGATAAAATAACCAAGTGTGATAAATGAATTAGCTTAGATTGAAGTGGTTGTAGTGGAGGTAATAAAATGTTTTTCAATAGAGAATGGAAGGAAAAGTTAACAGAGTTCACTGATGAATTGTAGGGGAAATATGTGAGAGGAAGAGAGAAATAAAGTGTGATGACAATGTTTTTTTTCTTGACTTGCCAAAAGGATGGAGAGGCCATGGAACTGTGACGGGGATTCAAGTAAGAATTGCAGTTTTAGAGTATGGAAAAATCAGGAATTCAGTTTTAGATAGTTTAGTTGTGTTATGCCTGTTGGACATCCAAATGCAGATGTCAGATAAGCCCTTGGATGCATTGTGTGCAGAGGCGTGGTCCAAGCTAGAATCTTATATTTAAAGTCATTGAATGATAGATACAGATACATTATGTAGTTGATGAGGTTAATATCTCCTAGGGGTCAAGTGCAAATAAAGAAAATAAAAGATTGGAGAGTAAGGTTGGGACATGTTAATATTTACAGATTGAGAATATGAGGAGAACCCAACAAAAATTTTGAGACAGGATGGCCAGTGAGGTCAGATGAGAAGCAAGAAACACTGATAGAAACACTGATATTATGGAAGCCAAGGCAAACAAGATATTAAGGGAAAGTGATCATTTTGGTCAAATGTGACATAAGGAAGTAAGGAAAGGATAAAAATTGACCACTGGATTAATACCCTTTTGCTACTCACATTATTCTTCTCTTTAGCTACAATTTGTACTTTCCTTGTATCTAAGTAACAACAATTAGATGCAATTTTTCCTTGTAGCGATGCAAATGGATCATAAAGTCAAATTTTAAATAATTACATGATTACTCAGCTAGAGACTACATTTTCTAACTTCCCTTACTATGTGACTATATACAGCCCATGGGATTTAATGTAAGTGATGAGTTTCTATTTCAAAGTCATTCTTATATATTCTTTCCTTCCTCTTCCCTGCTGTTTTGGAAGTCATAATGACTGGAGCAACCTTGAAATTCATGTGTTGAGAACAGATGCCCACCAGCCCTGGATTACTCACTTCTGTAAGTTATGTGAGAGAAAAATAAACCATTATTATATTAATCTACTATATTTGATGGTCATTTTATTATAGCAACTGAGCATGTATCTCACATGAATAACAGTCTTTGAGCTTTAGAAATTTAAATCCCAGAAAATAATGAATTATTATTCAAGCAACTGCTATAGGAAGGACAGAAATAAGAAGTTGATTGAAAACTGTCACCGAGGATCTAAAATGAGATCAGAGTCTATCTAAACATCCTACCCTCCACCTCCAGTGAAGATCCATTTGTCATCTTAAATATTTCCATCATCAAGGGCATCTAATGGATGCCTATATATTGTAGTCCCGTGTTCTCTCTTATACTAAGGAGAATTGAATTAATTTAGTGTCATTTTACTTAGCTCTTGGTTTCTTAATTTCTTTCTTTTTGTTAGTGTATATAATTTTAATATATGTGACTAAATGATTTAAGATAAATTGGGATAATACTAAGGCTTATGGTAATGGCTCATTGGTATTGCTTTCTCTAGAAATAATTTGCTGAAGGAGTTAGAGAATTGTTCCCATTTGCTTCTGGCATCATCACAATTTTCTAATACAATTTCATGTGTGGAATTTAGGTATTTCCTTAGAAAGGGATACCTAACATGTATCAGAAAGAGCCCTGTTCTTGCCTAGAATGAGAAGATCTAGTTTTGTAAGAGCCTAAGTGGTATTTTTAGGTTTCCTTCAGGCAGAAATCCCTATAAATACAGGAAGGCTATTAAATACAGCTCCAGATGTCAGGAAAAATGACGGCTCCAGGTGATAGGACAGTCCCTGTTCTAAGCCATGACCCTGCTCCAAATTCCTGATTGCATTATTTTAATTCAAATCATGGGTCCCTCCTTTCACTACAGCTTTCAGAACTCACTTAGGCAGGCTTTTCCTGAGAGAAACAAATATTGGGTTTCACAATACTGTATTTTGACTCTGTTGCAATATTGTTCACACCTTGTCTCTCTTGAAAATATTGTGCTATTTATTCCAAGGTGCTGCTTGGCCTTTGTCGAATTAGAGATCCCATTAGACTACATATAATAACAATCTAACCTATCATGAGAGATACTTACATGTGAGCTACTGTTTTAATCACTTACCTAATCCTCAAATCTCCAAAAAGTATATACTATTATTATTCCCATTTAACATAGGAAATAACCAAGACAAAGAGAAGAGGGTGAGTAATTGATTAAAAGTTACAGAGCGAATAGATTTTAAAGCTAGGGTTTCATAGTTGACATCAGATTCTGGGATTTTAACCCCAACTTTATGTTTAAACTATAAAACAGTCTACAAGCTCTTTATTATCCTTACAGTTTGTGTTTACATACTTGTAGCTTACATTGGGGCTTAGTCAAGATTGTCTTTTGAAACTTCTAGAAAAGTTCAGGAACATGTTCTCTGGCTATAAAGAAAAGTTTGGGGGATCAGCACACCTTGATTTTATTTGCCATCATTAAGTATTTTGGCTGAAAAGCCATTTATGTTATTATTTTTCCCCAACTTAATAACAGAAGATTGTGTATTTTCTTCATGTGGCATCTTTCATCTAAAACTCTCAAAGGGCTCTACAAATGTTATCTCAATAATGATCTTATCGTCTCTTTATCATACAATCTGTCTCTGAAGTAAGTGGCAAATAATTGAAACTCAGATGTATTACTTAACCAAGGTCGCAGACCCAACCCATCATTAACATGAAAGAAAAATGTGTAGGTTAATTTATATTCAGTACTTTGCTGCATCACTGCATGCCAGTCAGGATCTTCCCTCAGTTACAGTCTTGAAGCAGAGTTGTGCCATTACTTGATAGGTCCTAAGATAAAAAGTTAGATTTTATGTTGGCATCTCTCTTTTTTTGGTACAGTAATAATATGGACAATGTTTTATGTTTGTGTGGTAATTGCTAACAGTTTGGTTACTTATACTGCATCATTTGATTTTCCAGATGTCCTGGAAGGTAGATTGGGTAAGTATAATGAATCTCACCTTTCAAGTGAAAGCATTGAAACTTAGAATAATAATTGCTAGCTTTATTGAGTGTTTACTATATGCAGAATATGTTACAACTTTTTTAACTCTAAAAAAACCCTTTCACATGCTAGGTACTAAAATTATACCCATTCTAAAGACTAGCACAGAATGGTAAAGTAAGTCTCCATAAAACCCAGAGAAAAGATTGAAGAACTCTTTGGATCCTGTCTGGAGTCACAGCTGAAAAAAAAAATTATACCCATTCTACAGGTGAAGAAACTAGAAATTGTGACTCAAGTAAGTTAAATATTTTGCTGTGATAGCTACATTTCCCAATGCTCTTTATTTAATTCCCATGCTCCCAGACCTGAGGTCCCAGTAGAGTTAACAGTAGAGTTAACATTTGAGGTTGGTTTCATCTCTACACCACACACACGCACGCACGCACTTACACATGCACACAGCCACATACCCTTCCCTATTTCATTTATTATCATCATTATCAGTGTCTTGTAGATGTGGTTCCCTGCAAACAGATGGAGACAAAGTGTTACATGCATATTTACTGGAAAGAACTCTCAGGAGGTATAACTGAAAGGGAGTGAAAAGGCAGATTGGACAAGAGAAGAAGATGACCTGAGATACAGCTAAATTCAGTGGATCTTGAGGAGCTTTGTTGTTGAGAGATGGCCCTTCAGAGTTTTCCCAAGTTGAACTCTGGGTAGATACCAATCAATGGCCAAAAACAACCTCTGGAATGGGGAAACTGAGCAAGGCAGTTCTTGGAAGTAAAGAACAGTACGCTCTGAAAGAAACAGTTGTGAGCCTTTGCAGTATTCTAGCATAGAGGATGGACATGTGGGCCTTAAAGAAGGGTTCTGAGCAAAGCACGACAGTGCCCACTGCAGTCAGTAATATTCCCTAGGCAGGTACCATGCCCGGTACCTGTGCCAGTTACTGTGCTAAGATCTTAAATGCCTGATCTCATTCAGTCTTTACAACTTTGAAGTGACTAATATCATTGCTCTCATTTTACAGTTGATAAAGTTAAAAATATCTACCCAAGATTATATAAGAGTTCACCTTTCATATTTAACCACCATTGTGTACTGCCTACCTATATTCAAATTCTTATTCCCAAGATGAGTGAAGTTTTACAAGTGTCTTAATTTTTCCTAAATTTCACAGATGTATCTTCCATTCAGAATTATTTTGGGGTCAGGTTAAATGAAATTGAGACAACAAATATAGAGAATGTTACATATTGTCTAGCACATAGAATGTATTCAACAAATGGTAGTTCAATTTTATATTTATCTATGTCAGAGAGATTGGTTTTAATAATCCTACTTATAACACAGACTTCCCCTCTCAATGATAGAAAACAAAGATCTTCAAATCAACTTAAATAAAGAAAATTATCCTCTACCAAATGAATAACTTTGTTATTCTTGTTGCCTGAAACTATCAGATCACCTCTCATACCTGAATAATTGAAGAGGATCTAAGAGCAGAAGGCCACCTCCCCAACACAACCCTCCTCACACAGTACAACACTGAGGTTATTGCAGTCTGTCTGTGCAGGGATCCTTAACTTGACTCTTTAGCACCAAGAGCTTTCATTGTCACCTTGAAAAAAGAAAGTTCTATGTCATGATCAGAAGATTCTGAAATCCATGGCTAAAAGAAATACAGAATTTCCTTAATAGAAATAGAAGATGACCTGACACCTATAAACTAATTAGGCAAATTTGTTTTCAAGTTTTTTTTATGGTACTCAGTACACATTAAAATCAAGAAAGGAAGAAAATGAACAAGAAGTTTTAAGTTCCTTCTCTGATGTGAGATACCACATTCTTCACATTAACTAACAGAATGCCTAGCATAGCTGGTACTTAATTAAAAATGCTTGTAGTAGAATAATAATGGTAATTAGAACATTAAATTGATATTTTTTCTGTATCAAAATCCCAGATACCTTATCAGCATCCAGTGTGACCTTAGATGTCAGTGACCTCTTTGTGCTTCATTTTTCTATCCACTATAATAGTACTGCTTGTTTTTATTTCCTACATACTTTGAGTTTCAGAGTGCTGTAAAGACCAACTTTTATTATCCAATTACATTTTTATTGCAATTTGCAATTGCAACCAAAAATTTGTGCAATCAGTTTCTTTCAAACAGGTACATTTTCTATTTGAATCTGATTGATTTTGCAGTGAATGGCTAAGGTCCCAGCATAAATTCATATAGCTGTTTAGTGGACAGCTGGATTTCCATAGACATCATGAGAATGCAGTACACTGAATGTAAACTTAAGACAAGTTACCAAATGAAAAAGAGAGACCTGAACAAAATGCAGACTTAAATATCACATGGGTTTTACAGCTACTTTCACATTCAGATGCTGAAGTACTAAACTACATTGAGGGAAAATGTGCCTGAGATAATTCCAATGAAGCAATGCAGGAAAATAACAGAAATCTTAATATTTCTAGCCATGAAACAAAAAGCGAGAAAACACAACTAAGGTTTTTTGAAGCAATAGTATGGGAAATAAATTTGGGGAGCTGTTTAAAGTGAATGTAATCAATGTCTGCCATAAAAGTGGTATTAAAAGTGGAGGGAAAATAGAAGGGGACTGGCAGTAGATATCACTTTTGAGTATCATAGAAGCCACAAAAGTCAAGTAAGTGAATGTTCAAATGTGGTCTGGAAGGGCTTAACAGACTGATGTGATGTTTGAGGTGAATTGGTGTGTTGTGGATTTATATGCATGGTTGCTTTATATTGACAATAGCCCATCCTTAAGCCAGTATTGTGACCAGAGTATAGAATATGCTGGTTAGGTAATATCTTGAGGTGGACACCTACTTCTTAAACCAAGATGTTGTATCAGCCCCATTCAGATCACCTCTGAGAGAAAACAGAAGTGTTTTCTCAAAGGAAAATTAATGTTTACTTACAGAAGCAGGATGATGAGCAACAGAGCAAGCAGGGAAGATAGCAGATATCCATTAAGACTGAACATGATCCCAACCTTTTCACATAAATTTATATTTTTATATAAATTACATATATATGTATAAACATATATATACTATGCACAGTATATATATATGTATATATGTATACTATATACTATGTGTATAAGTATAACATCATAAACAAAAAGTAGTGGACCAGCAGATATCTGGTGTTCAAGATCTTTATACAAGTTCACCTTCAGCTGGATTTTAACATGGATTTTCAATGTTGATTTCAGTAGCATGTACAGAGGGCGCATTTGATATATGATTTCGTAAAATGCAAGACTTTGCCAATATGACTGAGAATGATTATATTTCTTGTTGTGGCTCTTTGGAATAAATGCCATAATCACTAGCAAAGTGCATGGCTTAATTTTTGAGTTTCATAGAAAAGAAACAGGAATGACTAATGTAAGTGTACACCTTTTTTAGAAATGGAAAAATAAAGTAACATGTATAAGTAGTTCCTTCAGAACTATTCTAATGTTGCAGATTTTTAATTACTGTTTTTCCCTAAAGAGGCTGTATTTAAATAAAGCCAAAATGGTGTATTTTTATAAAACTGAGAAGTAGGGAGATTTAACCACAGGGAGAGTGGGGGAAATACTATATGAACATGTTTAACTAAAAATTTTAATATGAGAGAGCTTAAGTAAGTTAGAAAACTTGTATATTGGTTGTTATAACAGGTACTGTAGCTCTGTTATTTGGCACTTAATGTGTTTGAGTAGCATTAATCTAATTAATAAGCATCAAAAATGAGTATAGATCCCAAAATGTTTACTTGGTTTACACAATGCTATATTTTTAATCAATTGTGCAGATGAAGTTAAAAAAAAACTCATTAGCTTATGGAGGAAGTGTGACATAGAGAAAAATCATTTTTAAGTAAAAACAGAAAAGAACCAGATTGGAAATGAGAAAACCTGAGATCAGATTCTCCATGGCCATTAGTGAACTATATTGAGTTAGGGCTACTTACATGTTCTCAATTTTCCTATCTCTAAAACAGATAAATTGAATTCAAATCCAGGCCCTGATTGTTGTTAACTGTATGATTATGGACAAATTATATGTAACTTCCTGAGTCAGCTTTTATATTTATACACTGGAGATAAGAATTTCTACTCCATAGAATTGTAGTGAGGATTAAATGAATTCCCATTCTTAGAAAGCATTTTGTAGATATTAATACATTATATGGAAGTTTAAACTTCCTGCTAAAATATAATTTATCCTGAAAATAACAAATGGATCTTCAGAATGTTTTGTATTCTGAAATGCTAAAAATTAAGGATTTACAAAGTACCCCAAATAAATTACAATATAAAAGTTTTAAACACACATATGGTCATATTATAAATTGATATTATTTATTGGATAATCTCTTGGAGCATAAGAAATTACAATAAAGTGTAGCACCATGAAACAAAAAACATTTATGATCTCAGTTTCTGTTAGTAAGGAATCTAAGAGCAACTTAGATGACTAGTTCTGCTAAGTTCTGCTTATGATGTCTCATGAGTTTCCGTTCAGTTTTAGGCATACGTTTATAAGAAGTGGCCAATATGAAGTGATTGTGTCACTATAATCTAAATAGGATATACGAGTTTAAGTTGTACCATATCCTTGCCAATATTTCATTTTGTTAGATTTTGTTTTAGCCATTCCAGAAGTGAATATCTCATTTCCAGTGGTAGTTTCTCATTGTTGATTTATTTTTTATTTCTCTGATGTCTAATAATGTTAAGGACTTTTTTTGTGTATGTATGCTTACATTTACACCATAATGTCTTCTTTTATAAAGTACCTATTCAGGTTTTTTTTTTTTTTGCCAAGCTCTTTATTGTTTGTCTTTTGATTATTGATTTTTAAGTGTTATTACATACTCTTGTTATAATTTCTTTGTCAAAACTATGTTGCATATTTTTCTTCTCCAGTCTCTGCCCTGCCTTTTATTTTCTTACTGGTTTCTCAAAAATCAAAAGTATTTTATTTTTTGAAGTATAATTTATCAGTGTATTTTCTCTTATGATACTTTTGTACCCTATCTAGGGAATATTTGACTAACTTAAGTTGTAAAGTGATTCTGTTATGTTTTCTTCCTTTAAGTTTAAATGTAGTATGAGTACATCCTTGCTTTATTCTCACTCTTACAGGGAAACATTCAGTCTTTCACTGCTGAAAATAATGAAGTCTTTTATAAATACTTT